AAAAAAAAGTCTTTTCTGGAAACGTTCAATTGCATAGAGTAGTAAATAGTTTAGTTCGCCACCTGTCCCGCTGGTAACTCATTTTCCCATTTGCTTTGACCAGTGCTACTCAGTTGCCTGGCGAAGCGGGCGTTCCTTTTTTCTTCCGAAGGAATTACTGGCTTCATGGCACTCAGGACAAAAATCTTGTTGGTTTTTTAATTTTTAAATGATATAAAAAGCTCTCCCCTGTCTTTGTTTTCAAATTCATTTGAGTGTTTCATTGACAAGGTCATGTTTTAGTCAGTGGCGAAACCATAAACTGTAGATAAGCAGCTGTTTTTTTTTCTTCAGATTCTGAGTGCTGCAGGCGAATGGACGCGTTTAATCACTTTTTGCAATTGTCAGGAACTTTACACGAAGCACGTATTTTTTGTTTACTTCCTGGTAAATGCACTGTTCAAACGAAGGCTCTACAGTGACATTCTGAAACTGAATCTGAACGCTGTGGTATGTTTTGGTTCTTCATGTTGATTCTGTAACAGCGTCTATCAGCGCTTGTTAGGCAGCAGCGATTTCAGGACGATTATCATAGGTAAATTTCAAGCCTTTCCCAATACTGTGAAGTGTCAGGTGACGAATTGTTCCCGCTTTGAGCAGGGCTGTCGATGATTTCTCCCAGAAACTGTTTAGATCCAGTGGCGGCTTGTAACCAAAATATTCAAATCATAAAATCAATTTTGTGTGATGCTCAATCCGCACAAAATTAAATTTCCGATTATTTTTGATCATGCAAGTTTATAAGAGCAGTATAACTGGACAGTTTAGAGTTCGCTGAGGGACCGGTGCCAGGATATCGTCTTCTCTTCGGTGTCGAATATGAGCCAGCTTTCCAAATCTAAAGATTTCACACCAACAGTGGAGGAAGCCACAGCACTAGATAAAATGTCCGAAGATCTGCAGGTACCACTAGCAGTAAAGTTTTTATAAATTTCCTGAGCAGTTGTTTTGAATTCGCCAGTGAGCAGACCAATCCCTCTCACTGTCCGTCGATTTGTTTTGGTAGCAAGTTGCTACAGATCTGCTTGGCGCACTAAGGAATCAGTTCGCATCCTGCTTGCCTTTAACCAATTCCCTGACAGTTAATAGTTCCATGTCTTCCGGAAGTCTCGGTATTTTGCGTTCATGCAAATTTATTTGTGTATATTTGTTCAGATTGAAGCCGGATTATTGCTGGTTCTTGGTAGGACTTATCTGATGTGTCAGAATCGTCGAGCAGCAACTTCCTGTTTGCAAGGAGCCGTTGCCAGGGACGAGTCTTGCATTGAAGCTTTTGAGCTGATCCAGAAATATCGGCTTTACCCAAAACAGTTTGAGGAGTTTGTTGAAAAGTATTTGTATTATTTTATTGGTATTAAATCCATAAAGATCACCCTGACTTTTAGTTTACTGTTCCCCTCTCCCCCCGACCCTCTCCCTCACTTTAGAAATTGAAAACCAATACCCCCTCCCTCTCCGTATCCGTTTTTTATGAAAAATGAAGACACTTCGAACTTCCATTTTGCAGGTCCGGTGATAAAAATAGATTGATTGTATGCCTTCGAAATCACTATTTTGCGCAGACTAATAAAAATGTTAGTTTGAAGAAAGCATCGTTTTTTTTT